CGGCTGCCCTTCCCCCACCTTGTTCTTTCCTGCCATTCCCCAGCCTCTCACCCTCTCCTCACCCCACTGCCCGCCCCCACCCCCGTGGTCCTCTCAGGCCTAGCAGCTTAGCTGAAGACAATGCTGAGGCAATTAATAGAGCCCTTTGAGGACTTGTCACTAGAAAGCTCTTTAACTCAGCCACCTGAGTTGGAGCCCCAGGCATGTGACAGGGGTGGGGGAGGGGAGCCAGGAACACCAGGGCAGCTGCTTGGGTGAGCAGCAGGGCATAGCAGAGAACCAGGGTCAGGGACCTAGGTTGCCAGGACGAATAGATTATGTGGACCTATCAGTGGTCATTGTTTTCATTATGGTTTGTCTCTTACTAGAACTTCACTGTAGCTGATTTTCTGCAGAACTGAGACCCGAGAGGTAGCATACCAAACAGTAAACCTACTGACTACATGGACCATCACAGGAAAACTACCCCCTAGGATGTGGGCACATTAGAGAGGGGGCCCCATGCAGCATCACTGTCTGTGTTAGGGGTGGAGTGGGGCGGGAGGTAAGGTGTCCTTCAATCTCCCTATCCCAACACTTGCTTCTTTGGGGGCTGTGGAGCTGGCAGGGAAAGAGCTACACAGGGGAGGAGGGGTTGAAGAGACAAGAGGGCCCTGGGTCTCCGGGTCTGTCCCTGACTGTCTCTGGCTTCATTGTGTCTCACACAACAGCCGCTGGTTGCAGCCAGGCCAGGCAGGGCAGCAGAGGCCCGGATGCTGATTTGGCCCTGTCTCCAGCTGTGTGTAATGTGTGTTTGTGTGCCCTTGGGGCCTGCCCTTCTGGCCCTCACTCTAAGTCTGGCAGTGGGGTCCCCAGTTATCTCTAGAAATTCCTGCAGGCTCTGAACCCACCCAGGCTTACATTCTCTCCAGCTCCTCTGGTCACCACTAGAGGGGCGCAGCCAACACAGCCTGGCCCAGAGACCTCAGCCATCCTCTCCTGCGCTCTCCAGCCTTTTCATCCATACATCTCTGATCTTCCCAGCCCTGTGGGCCACTGGGCCCACAGAACCCACTAAACATCTGTCCCTGGACTTGGGCACAGTGAAGGTATAAGTTTGTGATCACAGGGTGTGAGAAAGTGACCAGAAGTGGCCAAAGCCAGATGCTGAGGTATACTCATTAGCTCCTGTAAGGATAAAGGTAGAGGGAGATGAGGAAGAACCAGGAACCAAGCAGTCTACAGGGAGATAAAGCAGCGCTGGTCAAATGGCAGGCAGAATCTCCCTGTCAGCAAAGACGGGTGGATTGAAGAGACCAGAGGAAACCCTGTGGCTCTGGACTACACTTCCTAGATTCAAATCCTGGCTCCTCCAAGTACTAGTTGTGTGACCTCAGGCAAGCCTGGGTTGTGGGTTCGATTTCCGATTGGGGGGCGGGTATGAGAGGCAATCGATCGATGTTTCACACATGGCTGTTTCCCCCCCCTCTCCCTTCCTTTCCCTCTCTCTAAATAAGTTAATTAATTAAACAAAATAAAGAAAAAAGTTGAAAAAAAGAAATAAATTTACGTAGTTACTAAAGTCCGTCAACACGCAAATCAACAAAACTTTGGAGCCCTGGCTGGTGTAGCTCAGTGGATTGAGCACGGGCCTGCGAACCAGACAATCGCGGTTCGATTCCCAGTCAGGGCACATGCCAGGGTTGCAGGCAGGTTCCCTGCAGGCCAGTTCCCAGCAGGGGACGCACGAAAGGCAACCATACATTGATGTTTCTCTCCCTCTCTCCTTCCCTTCCCCCTCTAAAGATAAATAAATAAAATCTTTAAAAAAAAAAAAAAAAAAAAAAAACCCCAAAACTTTGACTCTATAAACCCTTTTAACATTGGGATCCTTGAATTGAGCTTGGGAGGCCTCCTGTTCCCTCAAAGCTCTTCTTCAAGGGGGGCAAGGTTTGCCCCCCCTTTTGGCCTCCTGCCTAAGCGTAGGTCCCAAAAAGCCTCCCAGACCCTGCCTTCCCTGTTGGGTGCATGGGGCAGATAAAAGCCAGGGCTCCTGAGCTGCCTCTCAGTAAGTCATGGCATCTCCCCTCCTGCACTGGGAGGAAGTGGGAGTCCTCAGCCCTGGTTCCCCAGGCCAGCTTTGGCTCTAAGACCACGGAGAAGTGAAAGTGCCCGGCCCCGGAACAACAATCCTGGCTCAGTCATGGATGAATGCACTTAACTTTTGGGGGTCTCAAGTCTCCTTTATCTATAATTCCAGGGAAGAGTGAGGAAATTCTTTCTATTTTCCTCCTTCTCTGGGAGGATAATGTTTAGGAAAAAATGAGGTCAACTACAGTATTACTGTCCCTCCATTTACTGATGCTTTTGTTTCTCAAATACAAATTGCCCAGCAGAAAAGACCAGAGCATGAAGACTGAGCCTATTGGGCTAAACAGCAGATTACACAGGTCACGTGATCCAAGGCTAGGCAACTTGTCCGTGAAGCACCACACAGCGGCTTCTCTCCAGAAAGGACTAAGTACCGGCAGAAAATCTGAGGCATCCTGGCTGGTCCAGCACACTACAAACCTTTTCATTTCAAACTTAATTTATAAACTGGTCATACATTCACATATACTCACATAGTTTAATGTTTTATGGATGTAAAACAAAATACAGTGGAAATGTTCTCCCTCACTCTTGGATGCCACCCCTTTTCTTCCTAGGAAGCAAGCAAAATGACCACTTTCTGGTGGATCCTTCCAGAAATACTCTCTATAAAGAAACACTTATGCAGCTTCTTTCTTCCCATGCTTCTGCTTTTCTCGAAAGGAGAGCCTCCCATACGGGTATATAAAGAACACCCTCAACTGGTTTTATGGCTCTGCTTTATAATATACCAACACGTACTTATGCAGTTTCCCACTGATGGACATTTAGATTGTTTTCAGTTTGTCCCAGTGCTATAAGGAAGATTCTGTAAATCAGCACACAATCATTTAAGGTGCCACTGCTCTTACCCAAAGCCTTGGGGCCCCTTAGAAATCAGAAGTTATAGAATTCAGAGAGACAAACTCAAGGACCCTGGAAAGCTGGGAAGGGAAAATCTTTCATGTTTATTTGCACTAACGTCTAAGTGAAATCCAACATTTCCTTCCATTATGCTCGCAGGCAATCATTTCACAGGAGTTAGCAGTATGTGAGCTACTCATCTTATATAATTGAAGGTATTTAGAATATTTACATTCATCCCTACTTTGTCATTGTGGTAGTAAAGGAAACCCATTTCTTTACTCACATTTCTGACACCAAATGTGTGCATCCCCCCATTCCCGCCACAACACACACACACACCACCATGTCAACCAATTTTCCAAATCCCTGGACACGAACTGGGAGTCCTATAACTGTATTCAATTCTGACAATTATTACCTGGAGGTAGCATCAGATTTCACAAGTTTTAAGGGCTCAGTTCCACAAGACTGCCGTCACTCTACATGCCAGTCACAGTCCTGGGGCCCCAAGGTACCCACGTTTCTGTCTGACTTGGCTACAAATTGGAGGCTCCCACACACCCCTTCAGGTTCAATAATTTGCTGGAAGGGCTCACAACACTCAGAAACACTCACTCACATTTACCAGTTTATTAAAGGAGTTGATAAAGGATGAAGTTGAACAGCCAGGTGGAGAGATACACAAGGTGAGGTAAGGGAGGGTCCTGAGCATGGGAGCTTCTGTCCCTGTGGAGATTTATCTGGAGGCTACGTCATACAGGCATGATTCATTACTAACGCAGTCTCCAGCCCCTTGCCCTTCCCTGGAGGATGGGAAATAGGATAGAAAGTTCCAAGCTTCTAATCATGGCTTGGTCATTCTGGTGACCAGATGCCTTCTGGAAGGTGTCCAGGAGCCCACTAAGATCACTTCATTCAAACAAAAGATGCTCCTGTCATCCAGGAAATTCCAAGGGTTTTAGGAGTGTTGCATACGACACCCCTATCTCACTTTCCTCACTGAGGAAATTACAAGGGTTTCAGAAGCAGTGTCAGGAACTAGGGTAGTTCCATAGTTCTTATTTCTGACACAGGTAGATAATTATTAATTTTCCATTAGATCTGGTTTATGTTATGCATTAATAAAGAAGCACATACATTATTACTACATTACACAGTTTTCTAAAAAATATTTTGACATTTGTATTTCAATATAATTTCTTTGCTTTGTCTTATATATTTAATACATAAAATTGTCATTTTAACATCCCAAGTGTACAGGTTAGTGGCACTAAGTACATTCACACTGTTGTGCAATCATCACTGCCATCTGCCTACAGAACCCTTCACCTTCCCAAGCTGAAACTCTGGACCCATTAGACACTGACTTCCCACAGCTCTCCCACAACACCAACCACCATATTACTTCCTGTCTCTGGATACCTCTCTGGAGGTTTGATGGCTCTGGGTACCTCAGATGAGTGGAATCATACAGTACGATTGTGCCTGGCTTATTTCACTTAGCATAAGGTCTTCAAGGTTCATCCATGTTGCAACAGGTGTCAGAATTTCATGTCTCTTTGAGGATGAAGAATATCTCACTGTATTTACTCACCACATTTTGCTTATCTCTTTGTTAATGGACATTTGAGTTGTTTCCACCCTTTGACTACTGTGAATAACGCTATTACGAACATTGGTGTGCAAGGATCTCTTTGAGTCCCTGCTTACAGTACTCGTTGGTATATACCCAGGAGGTGAATTGCTGGATCATATAGTAATTATATGTTTAATTTTTTGAGGAATATGTATTTACTGTTATGCATGAAATGTATTCTGAGATGAGAAGCACAGTAGACTCCCATTATACGTACTGTATTTTTGCATGCTTGTTTCGGCCACCAGATGGGGGACTTCTTGACGAGGGGTTCTGGGCTCCTAGTTCCCCTTCGGAAATTCTCCCAGAGATGTAGTAAATGCATTCGGTGCCTAGTGGGCGCCCTGCACTGGGCGAGTTGCAGCCGATACGGAGGTGCAGATTGTACCTCAAAGAAACTCAGCCAGAGGGACAGTTAGGCTTGAGAATGGCTGATCAAAGGTGCCGCAACTCCTGCCTGTGCCGCTTCCCAGATGTATAATCTGAGCTATGGTAATCTTTCCTGGCTCCAGCTTCCCCATCCATGAAATGATCTACATCATCGAATCAATATCCATCAAGAACATACCGCCTAATCTTTAGCTCTGTGCCTGGTACATGTTAGGCACTGAACATTCTGTCCCTGTTATCTGCAGGGAAAAAGAAGCCCTGTAGAAAACCTGCCTGGAGGCTTCTGGCCGGATGTTGCTTGGAGAGAGGTCCGGAGGCCCTCCTCTACCCTGCACACCTCTCCAGGTTGACGCAGGTATGCACAGGGAGGGGGGCCCCTGTACTGGCGCCGCATCTTCGCCGCTCTGGACCGCCCTGCCTCCCCTGGGATGCACCGATCGCTGACCGTTCTCTCCCCGCAGCCCGGGAAGCCTGAAGATCCGCGAGCGCGCGCCTCACGGGGCGGCTGCGGTTGGCCCTCCCAGCCGGCAGGCAGCGCCAGTCTACACCCGACTGGGGCAGCGCTCGGGCCGGCTCCTCTCGGCGGCGCACGGCAGTCCGGCCGTCGGTGGGGCGGGGACGCGGCAGCGGTGGCGGCCGCTCCGTGTCACCGGAGCCCAAGCGCGCAGGCCCGTCCCGGCGGTCGGCTGCCGGGCGGGGCTAGGGCGCCATGTGGTTCATGTACCTGCTGAGCTGGCTGTCGCTCTTCATCCAGGTGTCCTTCATCACGCTGGCCGTCGGTGAGAGTGCGCGACCCCGGCCCGCGCGGGCTTCCACCTCCGCATCTTTGCTCACTGGGGTCGCACCTCGCGGGCGCCAGAGCGACCTGTCCGGTGCTCCAGGCCTTTGCATCCCCCCCTCTGTCCCGCTTGGTCTTGCCCCTCCTGCTGACCCCAGGAGCCCAGCCTGACCGTGGGTCCTTCCAGGTGTCGCAAAGCCCCTCCCAGCAGTGCAGGGGAGTGGCTCTCAAGTTCCCCGCGCCGACGCGCCGCCTACCGCTGCCGCGCCCACCCTCCGGGGCCTGCAGCGCTCAACTTTTACCCGATTACTACCGCCGCCCTTTGGTCTGCGGCCCTGCCTGTCCAACTTCTTACTCTGACTTTGACACGCTTCCCCCTTCCGGCTAGTTCCTACTGTGGATCTCAGCTAAGATCTCACCTCCTCCGGGAAGCCATCCATGTGGGGTTTGACAGTCCAGCCGTGCTCCTACTTTCTCTAAAATAGCACTTGTCAGCACTAGAATTGTCTGATTCCCCTTCCGCTTCTCCCCCTTACCTCACCGCCTCCACCCCCACCTGGGTCAGAGAAGAGACATTGGCTGTTTTTACTGTATTCTCAGCATTTCACCCAGCATCTGGCCCATTTTAAGTGCCCAACAGATATTTATTCAGTGACTGAATGAAATTTCCATTTACGGGGTCAGAGATTAGCAGAGTGCTGAGGAGCCACATGCAGGTTTCCACGTTTATGAAATCCCTGCTTACTGACCTGATGAAGTTTTACTTTCCGACTTTGGAGGGCAACACATGGGTTGTTTGGTTTGTTCCTTGCCTTCTGGAGTCCATGAGGGGTGATGGAGAGCCAGCTGCAGAGAAAGGGATGACCATGAATATGGAAGTGACCAAGGCTAATGTTCACTCTGCTTGCTCCTCTTATTGTGCCCCCAGCGGCGGGACTCTATTACCTGGCAGAACTGATAGAAGAATACACAGTGGCCACCAGCAGGATCATAAAATACATGATCTGGGTAAGTGGTCGCTTCCCCAAGGGTTTACCCTCTTTTGCCCCACCTCAAAAGAAAGAATTGGGGAGAGTGTGGCATGGATGATGAAACCTGTCCCTGCTGTTTCCTGAAGGATCACCCCTACCTCCCTGCCCTGTACCTTGTTCTCTGGGCCTGCTCTCCTGGGTCCTGTTCTTTTTTCCCTCATTCTCCAAGTGGCATTGCTTCACTGCAGACTCCATTCTTAGTTCCTTAAGGTGACAGCCGAGGGTACATTTTCTGTTGACAGAACCATGGCTTGCCTTTGCTTGGCTGTCTTTCAGTGTCTCTAGTCCCTTGCTCTGCTTGCAGCATTTAGGAGTGAGAGGAACCTTAAGGACAGTTCTGATTCATTACCCTCTTTCGCATTGGATCAAATGACTTGTCCTAAGAGGGAGACACCTTCCCTGGCCCAGGCTCTGCCCTCCCCAGGTCTCATGGAAGGCTTCTCTTTCTGAAGACACCATCCTTGCTATTTATGTCAAAGCCACAGGGGTGACTGCTGGTGGATGGATTTCTGCCAGCTGCAGGAAAGGCTGGGGGCAGGGTGGGAGCAAACTTGGACAGGAGCCCAGTGCCTGTCAGGTCACTGGGTGTCAGCAGCCACTTCCACTCCGGGCTTGGCCTGAGGTTGGGAGTTAGTGGCAGAGACACGTGGCGGCTCTCAGCTCTGGGTTCAGAGGTTCAGCTCGTGGGTATTGGTACAGGAATTTGACCTTCATTTAAACAATCGTCATTGGTTGAGCATTGACAACTGTAAGTCTTTCAGAACAGCACTTTCAAACTGCAGGTATGATTTGCCACTGGGTTGTGTTACCAGTTCATTAGATCATGATCAGCATAAAAAATGGAATAGAAAAGACTAGAATTGAAATTTGAACTAGATCATATATATGTATTTGGGTGTGGGCGTCATGGTGTCAACTTTTTCTTACTGTGGGTTGCTGTCAAATATTTTGAGAGTGGCAGTTAAGGATGCTACCCTTTGGGAGCTGAGAGACTAGTTGGGGAGATCAGACCTGTGACTGCAATGAGTGAGACTGAAGCATGAACCTAGTGTTGCCCCAAGTGGGCTGGGGGTTAATGAGTCCAGGAAGACTGCTTGGAAGAGGTTCCCTGCACTGTGTGCCTCTGGTTGTTTCAGTTCTCCACAGCTGTGCTGATTGGCCTCTACGTTTTTGAGCGCTTCCCTACCTGCATGATTGGCGTGGGCCTCTTCACCAACCTCGTCTACTTTGGCCTCCTCCAGACCTTCCCCTTCATCATGCTGACCTCGCCTAACTTCATCCTGTCATGCGGTGAGAGGGGGTGGAGTTGAGGAGGCAGCTGAAGCAGTTGGCTATGCCCAGCTCAGTCCATGGCATTGAAGGGTTATAGAGAAAAGTGGCAAACACTGAGGTCCTCCAGGAGGCCAGGCTGATGGGGAAGATGGGGTTCTCACATGTGAGGAGACTACAGCCCACCCTGGGTCAAGTGACTAGAATTTGGTGGGAGTGGGCAACGGGGTTGGGATACTCAGACAGGGAGGGCTTTCACAGAGAGGTAGGTATGAAGGTTTGGGGAGAGCAGAGGTGGGCTGGCTAGGTAGTCAGAGCCAACAATAAACCACTTGTCCAGAAAAAGTCAAAGCCCTTCACCAGCAGGCAGGCAGCTCCCCATCCAGTCCTCCAGCCCAGCATTGTGATTAACACCAGGGGCCTGTGGAACTGTGGGTCCCTGTAGACAGCTGCCTTGGGGATTACGAATGTGTTTGGAGGACCCTGGCCTTCCTGCCTTTGCCCTGCCACTGTTTTCTGACCCTGGGACATCATTGCCCCTCCCTGGGTCTTAGCCTGTCCATCTGTACCAATACGTTTAGGACACTCAGTTGGCACATAGTATATACTTAGAGATACTTACAGATATTTGCAGAAAAGTATGGAAAGTATTTGGTTACCGGACTTCTTTTCTTCCATTAATCATTACTGGTCTTCCCAGCCTTTGGTCAAGATATCAGGTGGGATTGGGGTTTTACAGAGCTACTTTCCTATTCCCATGGGAGAACCTAGGAAGGCTGTTATCCATAAGGAGGATGCAGTGTTAAAGCTGGACCTGGTCCTTCTCTGCATGCCTTAGTATGAGTTTGCAAAGGACTTGTTCACCCACGTTTGCTGTGGGGAGCCCTTCCCTGGAGACCAGGTCCCTTATGCCTCTTTTTAGGGAAGAGGCCACTGCACCCCAGTCCCCCCCAGCAGCAGGCTTCCCTCGCCTGCCCTTTTGATGCCTGAGAGGGCTTTTCTGAAAGATTGGCTGGCATAAAGCACCACTCTGTCTTCCAGAACCTGCTAGGGCCAGAGTGTGTGGGCACGGTAGGACTGTGGTCTCAAGAGATGTGGCAGGCGACTGACTGTGAGGTGTATGCGATGGGCGTTCAGTGTCAGGGTGCTTTGTTCTGGGGCCTGCCCGTCACCTCCCCATGGGATCAGGTGGGGTGCCTGCCTTTGAGCAGCCTGTCCCTAGGATCTGCTCACTTGTTCGCTCCCATAAATTCAACTGCACACTAAGGAGATGCAGGGTCCAAAACATACCAGTTCAGACCAGTGGGTCTTACCCTGGGGCAGAATAAGACCCCCCCCCAGAATTTTTTAGGAACCCTAAGACTACACCCCCCCCCAGTGTCTAACGAACTGTGCCTTCTTCTTCTTGAGGACTGCCTTTTACTGGAGTCCTTCTCCGTGCTGCCCAGTTTGGAGGGGAGCCTCTTGGGAGCACGTGCCCTGCACACGCATGACTTCCTCCACCCACTTCCCACGGGAGAACTCTCTTGAGGGCTCACTTCTGCTAAAAACCCAGTTGCTTCGGGGGATGTAATACCAAAGTCTCTTTTTTACAACATTCTAAGGGCTTTCTGACCTGCTTCTAACTTCACTCATAAATGCCCTCTGCAGTGGGCAGGTGGGGGCTAACTCTCCCATTTTAACACGGGGAAACTGAGTCCTGGAGAGTGGTATACTTGGCCCAAAGCCATGCTCCGAGTCGGGTGTAAAGTTAGGGCTGGAACTCGGGGCCCCCAACCCCCAGGAGGCTCTTGAAGGTTAAAAGTCCGGCTTCACGTTATTCCCCCTAAACTAACGGACTCTTCATTCCCTCAACAGGGCTAGTGGTGGTGAATCATTACCTAGCATTTCAGTTTTTTGCAGAGGAATATTATCCCTTCTCAGAGGTAAGAAGTGTTTAGTACATCAAACTATTAACAGGGACAGAAGGAACAAAGGGGACTTGCATGATTTGCTTTGTAAACCCAGCTATGATTTGAAACTGAGTCCATATAGGGATGACACATTTTTTTAAAACTCAGTATACATAATTTCAGAAAGCAGTGTGGCTAAGGAGCAGGAGTCCCTCGGGCTGAAATGGGGAGGACGCTGTTCTCCCCAGTGCGTCCTTTGGGCCTCCTGGGACACGGCCTGAGATCAGGAGGGGCTGTGGAGTGGCCTTGTCTGACACAGACTTTGCAGGGCTGGGTGGGCTGCAGCCCTGAGCCCCAGCATCCGGCTGAGGCCTTCTCCTCGTAGGATCTGTCCACACCCTGTCACTCCAGTCCGCACCCCGGTGGAAGAGCACGGTCACTTCTTTGGGGTGCGTGGGTCAGGCATGGTTTGGCTTTCCACTGTCTCCTTCTGTTCAGAGGAGTTTTTTGTCCTAGCAACCAAGCACAGTCATCTTCAGCCTCCACCTTTCCCCACTGTACTGTCTCCGTGCCTGAGGATGTCCTGTCTCTGCTTGCCAGGCCCCGGCCCCCTTCAGAGATGTGGGGTCTGCGGTGTACTCTTCACCACTTCTCTAACACACCAGGTGACCACACCCGGCCCGCTGTCGGCACCTCCAGGGGCACCCTCTTCTCAGTCTCTCTTGTTGCCAGGTCCTGGCCTATTTCACTTTCTGTCTGTGGATCATCCCGTTTGCATTCTTTGTGTCACTGTCGGCGGGGGAGAACGTCCTGCCTTCCACCATGCAGCCGGGAGGTGAGAAAGGGCTTGGCGAGGGGTTGTGGCGGGAGGACACCAGGAAGGCCTGAGTCGCTGGGGGACCGGTGCCCAGCCCGGTGATGAAGGAAGGCCCTTGGGCTTCAGGTGGGAAGAGCTATGCTCACTTTCAGATACACACACACTCATCTCCCTACCTGTGTCTCTACAGATGATGTGGTCTCCAATTACTTCACCAAAGGCAAGCGGGGCAAACGCTTAGGGATCCTGGTTGTCTTCTCCTTCATCAAAGAGGCCATTCTACCCAGTCGTCAGAAGATATACTGACCCCTTTGGGGAGGGGATGTGGGGGCAAGATGAGGAGAGTCAGGCCCCTGGGCCTCTGTACTAGGTGGGGGCTGTGAGCCTGGAAGGTACCTTCCCCCAGCCGCAGCCTGACTTCCTTCAGCTCTCCCTGAAGGCCCCGCCCCAACCTTCCTTGGGATGCTCAGCTTGGCTCAGATCTGACACTGCTAGAGGCTGCAACTTCCGAGGGTACCAGGGAGGGTGGCAGAGCCTACTTGGCCAGAGGCTGCAATCCACCTGGGCGTGTAGAAGCTGAGCTCCCTGCGGCCTTCCCCACCCCCTCCCTCCCGGGCTGGGTCAGGAGGTTCTGGCTCGGTTGGGGCAGGCAAAGCAGGGGCCATGACACCGGGGAGCAAACAGCGATAAGTTCTTGAGGCAGATGGCCACAGGGCGGGGCCGTGGCAGGCACCTTCCAAGAGAAACAGTTTTTGTTGTTGAACTGTGATTTCTGTCCAAGTCTGATTCTTATTTGAATAAAGATTCTAGGTGGCACTGTTGCCTTAATACCCTGAAAATTCATCTTCCTTTCTTCCTGCCGCCCTGCCGCCCTGAACTGGACAGGCTCTTCTGCTCCGGGGGCTCCTTTTCTGGGGTTGGTCTTGCCTCCCTGAAGGGCCTGTTCCCAAGGCCCTCATGGGCAGGGGGGCAGAGGCGAGGGGCCGAACCCGGGCAGGGGGTGGCAGGTATAGGCAACCTTTCTTATGCCCCCCCCCTTTTTTTTTTTATCTCTTCTTTCCCCAAGGCTCCATGACTGTCAAGTTAGGGACAGAGAGGGGGCAGTTTGGGACTGGGTTAGATTTTCAGAGCAACATCTGCAGTACCTTATTTATAAGTCTTCTTCTGGAGAAAAGGTGGTTTCTGACAATTCTTTGTCAAGATCAAAGAGATAACAAAGTAAAACTTGGCTTCTGGGCAACTTGGGCTACAGCCTATTTTTAAGAAATGGCACTGGTAGGAGGATCCATTTGTCACTCTGAGGGCACACAGGGCTGGCCTTTTCTCTGTGCCCAGCTCCTGGGGAGGTGGCCCGAGGCTTCTAAGAAGGCCGGGTCCAGGCACAGACCAGCATTTGTCAACCTTGCACTCCAACTACAGTGCCTTGCAAACACTCAGCAGTACCCCATGAGAGCCGTTACTGGTCATATCTTATGCCTCAAGGCGAGGGTGGCAGGTGCGGAGGTGGACTGCACACCTGTAGTACCTTTAAGCCCCTGGGAAGACCCCTGTGCTTGAAAATCCTCCCTCCACATCCTGCCTCAAGTCCCACCATAGCCCTGCATTTCCTTGGCTTTAGCATTCCCTGTTACAAATACCAACCCTCCCCTTTTCATGGGAGGAGCAGCACTTTGTGGTCTTCTCTCAGTGGGAATGAGATTGCCTGGCCCTTTTATCCTATGCAGACAAGGGGGGACAAAGTAGCGGGCACTGGGGGCCAACATCATCCTCATTTTTGGACTAGCAGCTGCCTTGCTGTTGCTGTCCATGTCTTTGTCCGTCATCCGATGATGTGGCTTTGCCCCCTGCATTCCCTCCACGGCCCGTGCTCTCCCGGAAGTGCCAGTGGCCTTTTTGTGCTAAATACACTGAGCCCTTTTCATATATTACTGGGTCTCCACAGCATCCAATAGGGCTGGTTACCCCCAGCTTCTTGAATCGCACTTCTGCGGCTCATTCTCTTCCTACCTCTGTGGCTTCTCCTGGTGTCTTATGCAGGCTTTTCCACTTGCCCCATGCACAGTGGGGTTTCTCAGGGTCCTGTTGTGGGCTCCCAAGAGCCCATCCACGCTGATGGCTTTGACTCTTTGCCAAGGAAATGAGTGTTGACCTCTAGCCCCAACATCCCTCCTGGGCTTCTGAACCATGGTTTGCTGCCTTTGGCTGCACAGACAGCTCGCGTGGCCCAGACGACTTGTTGCTGTCCTTTGCTAACCTGTGTTTTTTGGGTACCTGCTGTGGCCCCAAGACCACTCAGGAGCCAGACCAGAAATATGCTATTCCTGCTTTCTCCTTTTGCCACCCCTCCCCCATCCAACGTCTAGGAATTGTCAGGTTTGCCTTCTTAACATCTGGATTAGAGTAGGGCCACTACCACTGCCATCAGTTGTCACCTGGGTTATTGTGACAGCCTCCTCCTGCTTCTCTGTTCCACAGCCAGAGTTGTGTTTCTAGAATGCATAGTTGATCAAGTCACTTCCTGGCCCACAACCTTCCATGGCTCCCTACTACCTTCAGGACAAAATCCAAACCCCTTAGCATGGTTTTGAATCTTGTGGTATCCTGCTTCCTCTTCCTGCTTTCCTCTCTGGCCTCATCACTTGCCACCTTGCACTCTGGGTCCCAACCTGTATTCAGAGATGCCACTCTGATTCCTCTTTCTTTTCTTCACCTGGGCATCTTCTGCATTACTTGTTAAGATTTCACTTTGTCCAAGGAGCTCTGAATGTTCCCTCCCTGTCCCCACTCCAGCCTACCACACAGATCACTCTGGGCATGCTTGCCTGTGCACTGGTCTGTCTCCTCACTAGACTGTAAGCTCCTTGAGGGCAGGGACTGTCCCTCAATTTTTGTACCAACAGTGCCTGGCTTGGTGCCTGGCACACAGAAAGCGTTTAATAAAGGTTTGTTTAATGAACAGTGTGTAGTCATTTGTACAGCAGATAGCAGGGGATGCGGGCTAGCTTCCTGGGGGAAGTCCGCGTGGTGATGTAGTCTCCAGTTGAAGCCATAGGTCCTCCCTGACTACCCCCAGCTGTGCCACCTGTGCCTCCCTGACCTGCAGAAAGCCCGGCAGCATCCCCGAGTCAGGGAAGCCTATGGCAGGGTGGTGCATTAGTTGCCTCCACCCCATTCTGGATCTGGAGATGAAGCATGAGGCTTAGGGCCTGCAGTAGGGCTTAATCTGAATAAGAGGCAGGATTTCCCAGTGGTTCCCCATCCTGAAAGGCTGTCTTTGGTGGGCCATTTGGGGGAATGGGGGGAGCAAAGGGGACACCAAGTGTTACTTTCATAATGCTAGGGCCTGGGATAGAGACTGACCCCCCACTCTGAGCTTTGGGCTCCCATCCTAATTTGAACCTTTTGGCAGGTGTCCCAGAGATTTCTTTGTGGAGAGAAGGGAAACCTGGGATCTGGGCTTTTGTTGGGGGGCAGGGGCTCTGGTTTTTGAATTTGGGAATGAGAAGCTTATGGGTGCTCCTCCCCTTGCTCCCTGTCCACAACATGAATGGCCACGCCTCAGCCTTCACTGGCCTGCCTCAGGTCAGGAGGCTACCAATGTAAGTTTATGAGAAGGGCTCTGGGGAGGGCATAGTGGGGAGCCCTTGATGAGCTTGCACTGCTGCCAGGAAGGCTTCATCAAATGTCTCACGCAGGGTCATGGCCAGTGTGTCAGTCCAGAAGGTGTTGTCGCCCAAGTATCGCTTCCTGGCCACATCCTTCATGCTGACAGGGTGGAAGCCCTGGGGCACCTTCATCCTGCATGGCCGCACTTGAGGGTACAGCTCTCGGAATATCACCTCCAAAGGGAGCTGAGGCACAGGTGCCACCTGCTTGCCAGCCACTGTGCGCAACTGTGCACCTCCGTGCCCATCAGACCTGACCTCAAGGAACCCGTGGAAGTCGTGCTCCAGGTTGGGGTCTGGGTGCACACCCAGGCGGATGCCCTGCGGGTAGCCAATCTGGGTTGTAGGGGATGTGACAGGGTTGTTGCTAATATCCCACAACTTGGGCCGCCTGACTATGGGCTTGTAGATGGGTTTGGGCGTCACCGAAGGCTGCGGCTTGAGCTGTGGCATCTGTTGCAGGCGCATCTCCACAGAGGGGTGGAAGCTCTTGGGGGGTTTTGGGGTCTTGGAGAGGGGGATGGTCCAGGGTGGGGCTTGGGGTTCTTTCTCAGCATTGTGGATCAGAGATTGGCCTCCAGGCAGTAGCTTGTGGCGGAGCCACTTCTTGAAATCAGCTTCTCTCAGAATTTGTTGTTCTTTCTGCAACATCAGAGGGCACAACACAGGCAAGCAGGGCTTGCACAGGCTTGCACTTCCACGCAAGGAGACCCTTTGGCTGTAGCCCTTGTACATCTCAGATGTGACTGATCAGGTACCGTCCCACCCCAGGGAGCCTGAATCTGATGGGAGAATCTGTTGCCCTGTGACAGCCCTTGTCCAGTGGGGAGACAACTGTTACCCAAGGGGAGCCCGTGGGCTGATGGCGCAGACAGAGCCTCTCCCATAGGGGACCTCCAATTTTATGGATACCCAGCCTCCACTCTGGGGGAAGTCTTCAACTTGAGGAGAGAGACACAGTCCTTGCCCTACACAGAAACTTGAGTCTTAAGGGGGGAACCCATTTTGATAGCGGAGACATGTCCTGCCCCAAGAGAGTCTCTGGTTTGATGGGAAGGAGAGGCAAACCAGAAGTGCAAGCGGCATCTGTGACCCTGGAAGGAGACTCAGAAAGGTTTGGGAGGCCTAGAGCTGGGTGGAGCTAATCTGGGCAGGCTCCTGGGGAGGGGTTGGCCTGGAGCAGTCCTGTAGGGAGAGACAGTGGGCTAGCTCTCCAGGCTGAGTGCTGATAACTTGGTCTAGCCATCTGTTCTTGCCTCTACTATAGTTGGACCTTCAACATGTGACAAACTGTCCCCTCCTCGCCCCCATCTCAGTGTCTCACCTCCCGGGCTGTTGCTAAACCATCAGGTGGTTTGGAGATTGACCCAGCTCTGGTGGTAGGCTCTGATTAGGCTAAGCCTCTCATAATAATCCCATCAGCCTTGCCCCAGACCTAGGTCAATCAGCAGGCGGCTTTCCTTTAGCTCTAGGTATTGGAACAAGAGTGGACTTATGACCTGAGGCCAATAAGAGATGGTAGATCTGCAAGGGGCTTCTGGGAAAGTTTAAAGCTACAGGGACAGATGGGCTTTGCCTCCTCTGGACAAATACAGGGTGGGGCAAAAGTAGGCTTACAGTTATACACATGCAAAACAGATTATTCTTGTAGTATTATTTAATTGTATTATTTCTCACTGGGACAACCATAAGCCTACTCATGGCCCGCCCAGTATGTAACTGGGGGCTGGGTGGTACTGACAAATGACACGCGCAGGGCAGAGGAAACTGGGGAGAGGCACAGCTGGGATGGAGTTGGAGCCGTAGATCTGCCGGCCCCAGAGCCTTCCCCGCTCCCTGCTGGACTCCATAGGGTTCCCAGCACCTTCTTTCTGGGCTTTCCGGTTCTCGCATCCTATGTAATTATACCTGCTTAACATCCTTCAGTGACTCCCTTCTTCCCCAGACAAGGTCTGTCATTGACCTGGGCCCCTGCCAAATCTCTTATCTTAGCTTGTCAAACTCCAGCTCACATTGGACCCCCTGGCTGTACTGAGTTGGTCCTTCTCGGCCTGCACCACACTTCCACGTTCCCCTGTGCCTCAGCACGGGGCTGTCTGTTCATTCGGGCTGGTCAGCCCTCCCCTACTTTTTCATATAGCCAACTGCTGCCTGTCTTTAAAGACTCCTCTTCAGCATTATCCCTCTGTCACCCTCTGGACCCCCTTCTCTCTGGGGGCCCAGGGGGTGACAGAGGGATATAACCTACCTCCCCTGCTAAACTCTAAGCTCCTCGAGTGAGAGGACCACCTCTCATTGGTCTTGGGAGCTTCAGGGTCTAGCAGGTGTTTGGCAGAGAGTGTGTGATCATCATCTGCTGGCAGGACGGGTCTTTCTAACCTGTGTGCTTCCCAATAAAGCAGGACCTGGGGCTCAGTGGAGATGCTCTTCCTCACCAGAAGGAGGCACTGCACTAGGAGGGGCTTCAGAAATATTTGCTAATTTAAGCTACGCTTGCTTTCTAACACAAGACTTTTGACTTCAAGGAGTGGCTTCTAAGGTTAGACTGTTAGAGGAGGGGAAGAGGGAGGCTCTTTTCTGGATGGGACCACTTCTAGCCACTCTCTGACACACGTGTCAGTCCACTCGTGTGCCTAGATAAGCCGCCGACGCCCGCGCCCCAGCAGCCCTGCCCCTTACTTGATGCTCGGTCAGGTAGTCCTGTTCCATGAGGGCCAGCTGGACTTTAAGCTTCTTCAGTTTTCCCATTTCACAGGCAAAGTCCTTCTTGTCCCGTTTCCACATGGCATCCTTCAAGAACCTGGTGCCAAGGTGAGGGTGTGTCATCCCCCAGGGCCTGGGCTTCCACCTGGAAGACTGGCTGCTGCTGAGGGGCTGCCAGAGATGCGATGAGCAAGGTGGCCTGCCCCCAGCTTCCCAAGGCCCCTCTGGCTAACTACTCCCAGTGAGGTGAGGGAGAAGAGTGTCTAGTAGTCTGGTCACTGCCCTCCTGATGAAGAGCCAGGGGCAGGAGGGCAGTGCTAAACCCAGAGGTGTGAGACCTGTGGAAAGCCCCCAGGAATAGTATTCTGGGAGAAGCCAATTCTGTAGACTTAGCAGCTAGGCAGTGGCTTCCCAGACCCTCCTCTGAAGGGCTCCGCTTTGGGAGAGGGCCCTAGGGGCAGGGCTGGGAGAAGGAAGGGGTGGCAGGCTGGAGGTGGTTCCCAGCCCTCACCGAGCGCAGACACGGTGGTTCCGTATTTTGCAGTAGTCGATGGGTTTGCAGCCCATGGCATCTTGGGCATGGACATTGGCGCCGTTCGTCACCAGGACCTTCACACAGCTCAGCAGGCCCTCGCGGGCCGCCAGGTGCAGGGGTGTGGAGCCGTTGCATGTCTGACTGCGGAGGTCCCCCGGGGGAAGAGGCGGTAAGGAAGGATGAAGGGCATTTACTTATCAGATAGGTGGGTACCAGCTTCCTGGACTGCTCTGCCACCAGCCCACAGGGTGACCCCAGCATATCCCTTCTCTGTCCCTCCGTTTTCTCAACTGGAGAAGGGAGGTAAGGACTAAAGGAGCAGTCCACGTTGCGTGATGGGGTGTGAGACAGTGAAGCGCTGCTGGAAGGAGAGCTGGTTGGCTGGAGCTCAGAGACCACTAACCTCATCCTCTTCAAACAGCCAGCCCTCCTGCCCCTTCCTGGTCAGGGCCCACAAGCCTGTGTGCCTGGATTCCTGCCTCATTCTCCACCTCATCCTCTGACCTCACCCCGCTCTTTCCCAACACCATGTTTCCTTTGCACACAATTCCCTCTGCCTGGGACACTTTCTTCCCGTCTTTGCATGGCGGGCTAACCATCTTCAAGTTGTATCTTACATGTCACCACCTGAGAGGCGACTGCCCCCTCCAAAATAGGTCCTTTCCATACCCCACCCCACCCCCCTGTTTATTCCCTTTGTAACTTTTGCCACACTCTGTCATTGTGTTCATGTCCTGTGCTAATTTACCATCTAGTCCTGATCTCGGGTGTCAGCTTCATGTGCAGGGACTATTTCTGTGTGTTCACTGCTGTATTTCTCACCTCGGGCCTCGTGCCTAGCACAGGGTACATGCTGGATAAACACGGAGTGAACACACAGCCCCTGCGTGCCACCCACGCCTCCCCGTGCATTTTCTGTCGTCACAGCAGTCCATGTGATGGGCACTGTCATCTTCCCACACTTCAGCTGAAAACACTGAAGCAGTTAAGTGGTTCCCAAACTTTGCTGCAAAGCAGGAACATGTGTGGACTTTTTAAGACTTCCAAAGCCCAGGCCACACCCCAGACTAAATGACAACCTCTGCATCAGGCTTTTTGAAGCTCCCCAAGTGATTCAAAACTTACTGAAGAGCTGGAGGCTTCTGATTGAGTGACTTGCCTGAGGTCACGATGTGTGCTAGCGGATGGTAAAGCTGGGACATAAACTAGGTCTGTCCTCTCCCAGGGCCCAATTTATTAACTAGTACACCATGTGGGCTCTCCGACTGTTTCATGTGGGACCCACTTCTGGTCACCCACAGTCCCTCAGCTGGCTCTGGAAGTGGGATCCTATCTACCCAGCCTCCAAGCCCCTCTCCTGGGGCGGGCAGGACTCACGTGTCGAGGGCCGCCCCGTGACAAAGCAGGTAGTGGATGCAGGGGAGGACCATGGTCTTGTTTTCCTTGCGGATGACAAGGTGCAGTGGTGTCTGGCCATTGTTGGTGGGCAGGTTCACAGGAAACTTGTACTCCTCTACCAAGACCTGCAGGCATTCAAGCCTGCCGCTTTGGGCTGCAAAGTGGATGGCAGTGAACCCCTGTGGGGGCCAGAGGAGGGCAGGAGGCTGCTGAGCAGGATCCAGGCCCCAGGTCCAAAACCTGACCTAGGTAGCAGTTCCTGTGGGTCCATCTTCCCTTAGATCCCCCCCAGGAGTCACTCACACCCCTTTCCCACTCCTGTATGTGCTCACTCTTCCTTGATACCCCCAAATGGACCTCCCACGGAGCGGAGGTGAATTAGGATGATCTACTCAGAAAGGGGCACCTCTGGAGGCTCTTTGCCAGGCGAGTACTATGTGAGGAGCTCTTGGTGGGAGGGGAGGCCCTCGGGCCTTGGCGCTCCACTCCAAGGCCTTACCTTGTTATCTGTGGGGATTTGCCCACGGTCCGGATTCAGGCAGAACCGCAACCATTCCAGGTTGCCTAAGGCAGCTGCGAACAACTCGGAATAGCTCCCCACATTCCCCTGGTCCCACTCACTGACCAGGCTGGCGGCCAGCGCAGGGGTGGGGGAAGAAAGGAGGAGTGATTGGAGGAAGCAATGGCAGCTCCTGGGCCTGCGTGGGCAAGGCCGTCACTTAAGCAGGAGGCGTTTACCCAGGCTGGGCCGGCGCTGACCCGTGGTGGGGCAAGGAGAAAGTGGCCGTCCTGGAGCATCCCCAAGGGCCCCAAGCCCTTTTCGGGAGGTCAGCAGGGGCCCCGACCCAGCTCTCCTAGTTCCTCGACAGCCCTCACCCGCCCCTCCAGGCCCTGCTCTTCCAGGGAGGCTCTGGGCAGGTTCCCACGCTGCAGCCGGGCCACCTATTTCCGGGCTCACCTGGGGTGTTTGGACTGAGAGTTTCTCCAGGTGAGTTGTCGGGAGACTTTCTGAGTCGGCTTCCTAGAGGTACGCCGTGGTGTTGGCGGAGGCTTGCGCCCACTGAGAGGCATCGCTGTGCCCCCAGGGTCTGGGCCGCCGGCAAGGACTCGCGCTGGGGGCGGGGTGAGGGCGAGGCTAGCGCCTCCCGGGCCGCCCAGAGCGAGTCCGGGAACCACGCCCGGGACGCCTGTGAGGGACTTGGCTTCTGCCAACCCTGCCGTCCCAATTTCCCTGGGCCCAGTCTCCTGCAAACTCAGCATCAAACGCACACAGCAGACTGAAAGCCCTTAGCTTTCGTTTCTGATTATAAAATTAGTAAGTTCTGATTGTAAAGACCAGAAAAGGATGAGGAAAGCAAAAACCATAATCCCACCAGCCAAGAAATCACAGTCTATACGTTGCATATCGTATAGACAGCTTGTACCTCTTTTCACTTTGTGTTACGAGCTAACTCCCATGGACAGTCCGCATCACAAAGGCACACTGTGACCTGACCCCAGCCCAGCAGCAGAACAGGTGTGCTGTCCTTTCACACGTGCTGCAGAAAGCAGCATGGCACCTCTGTAATTGTTTCCTTAGCACGGGTTCTCGAAAGCAGAATTACTGAGTGAAGGGGAATGAACATTTTTTATATGTTTTCCCAACTGCCCTCCAACACGGTTGCGTATTCACTTACACACCCACTTGCAGTGAACAGCACTGCACCTCCACAGTACGGCAAGTTACTGTGGGCACGTTAGTGACTTCCGAGGCTCAGTTTCTGCATCAGCGGAATGGGGATAATTGTACCTACCTCACAAGGAGGGAAGGACGTGAGCAGTTAGCAGAGGCCAGCTGACTCATTTGCTGTTCTTAGAAGGAACTATTCCAACCATCACTAGTACTGGATGCTATGATTTTAGGTAAGTGTTTGCTAGTTCGGGAGTGGCAGTGGTGTTCTAATTTGGCTCTTTGCTTATCAGCAAGGCTTACATATTTGGTTATCAGTGTTTTTCTCTTCTGGGAATTATTTGTTTATTCACATGGTTATTTGAGGGTCTGAATATGTCTCTTATTGATTCGTAAAGCTTATTAACATAGTAATCATTTGTATATTTTTGTGGTCAGTATTTCCTTGGTTTACCCTTTAGCTTTTGATAATATACAGTAGTCAAACAATCAGTGTTGCTTGAATCAGTGTTGTTGCCATAGAGTTTCTATTCTCACCCCTTCTCAATTAAAAATAGACAAAGAACCTGACTAGACCTTTCTCCAAAGATGTACAAATGGCCAATAAGCACATGACAAGAAGCTCAACATTAACCATAAGGGAAGTTAATCAAAATCACAGTGAGATATTATTTTACACTTCCTAGGATGGTCCTAATAAAAGCACAGAGAGTAAGCGATGCCAAGGATGTGGAAAAATTGGAACCTCCGTACACTACTGGTGAGAACTCAAAGTGGTGCGGCCACTCGGGAAGCGTCTTTGCAGCCTGGCAGTCAGCGTTACACGTGAAGTCACCATCTGACACCTGCTCCTTCCACTACTAGGTATTTACCGGAGAACGTCCACCCAGAAACATGTGCTTGAGTGTTCATAACAGCATTATTTATGATAGCCAAAGGTGGAAAGAACCACATGTCTGTCTGTAAAGGGGTAAACAAAATGTGGTGCACCCATGCTGTGGAATATTATTTGGCAATAAAAAGGGATGAAGTACTGATACATGCTACAACATGGATGAGCCTTGAAAACACTACGGTAAATGAAAGGAGCCAGTCACGAAAGACTACCTGCTATATGACCCCACGTATAGAAAATGTTCAAGAGAGGCAAAGCCTAGGGCTGGGGCGGGGGCAGAAGAGGAACGTCAGGGGCGATGGCTAGCAATGCAGGGTTTCTTTCCCAGGCAGTGGAAGTTTTCTAAAGTTGATCGTGGCGATGGCGGCACAGCTCTGAATATGTTGTACAAAAAGCTGTTGAGTGGTACAATTATAAACAGGTAAATCATGGGGTATGTAGATTATATCTCAATACATCTGTTCTGAAATAAAAACAACCCTATGACATGTGGACACCCACAATGTCAAGGTTTCCCCAAATGGCTGTGAATTGTCACAGGGATGGGACTTTAATTCTCAGGAGCTTCTTTGGTGTCAGTTCTTGATCCAAGAATTTTGGCTGGTTCCATATCACACTGACCCAGAAATGGAACTCAGCCCTTTGCCGAAGTTCCATCCTTCAACTTGGCCTGCCTCTTAGGAAGCATTCATGACCTCATCATAGGTGGGGCAGAGTAGAGAGGAGGGATGATATCACAGAAGACCCGACAGCTTTCAAAGCAACATCCGGCATCCTGGGTTTGCTTTAGGATGCTCTTCACCCATTTTTATTTGGGGCTTCTCCTCAGCCTTTCACCCCACCCCATGTCCCTCAGGCTCTATCTCTCCAGCAACGCCCTCCCTTCCCAGATGGAACACACCAAATCCCTCTCCAGCATCTCTCTGACAGAGCTGGTCAGAGTCAGACTGTTTCTGTGGCCTGGATTGTCCTTTACATGGCCCCTGAGCTCATCATCCACCCAAGAAATGTACCAAGGTATTTCTTAATATTGATAAATATCTCCTAAAGGGAAATTCTGTTGTCAGCTGTTACGACACTACTGTGGCTGGGGTTTTTTTAAAGTGGAGAGAATAGTTTAACTAACCCTGTTAAACCATCATCCCCCAGCTTTAACAATGACCAGTCTTTTGCCAGATAAACTCTTCATTTCAATTACTTCTTACCCTGCGTGGGGGGAGGGGGCTTTTAATATAAAAATGCAAATGCTCCTATCAGAACAAGATATAGAATACAGGTTTGAAAATCTGTTCTTTCCCTGTGCCGGAAAGCCAGGGAGAGGGATGGAGCATGCATGCGGCCCCCATAGCTGTGGGTACTGAGGGTGGACACAGGCGCGGTTGGCAGGTGAATGGAAGCATGGAGGATGGGGAGGGGTGAGAGGACACCCAGGGGTCCCAGAAGCACACTCTGGATCCAGTTGCCGACGGGTCTAAAATGCAGTTTCAGCCGCGGGGTTCTGGGGCGCCCCCTCGCGGGAGTAGAACTCATCGATCACACTCTGCGGGATGCGCTTCAGCATCTCCTTGGGGAAGGTGCGCAACAGCTTCCAGCCCAGGTCCAGCGACTCAAACACCGAGCGGTTCTCATATGGGCCTGGGGACAGGGCGCGAGTGTTAGGTTTGTGTGTGTGTAGGTCAGAGGGTTACTGACTGACCACCCCCTACGTGCCTCACCCTGGTTGATGAAATTCTTCTCGAACTTCTGCAGGAATTCCAGGTAGAGCAGGTCCTCCGAAGTGAGCGCCTCTTCCCCCACCACTGCTTTCATGGCCTGCACATCTTTCCCGATGGCATAGCAGGCATACTGGGGGAAGGGACAGAGTAGATAAGCGGTCACCTCGGGCTTATCACCTGCACTCCAGAGCTCCCAATATGGCTGTGATGGAAGGGGGGGGCACTTTTGGGGGAGGGGTTACCAGAAGAAAAACTCATGGTCTAGATAGGTTTCAGACCTTCGGCACCTGAAACCAGCAACCTCACTAGCCCCGGGCTCCACTCCTTCTTACCAGCTGGTTAGAGACATCTCCATGGTCCTTTCTTGTCATGCCCTCACCAATGGCAGACTTCATCAATCGAGATAGGGAAGGGAGCACGTTGATGGGGGGGTAGATCTGGGGGGGGGGCAGAAGGTGTGGCAGAAGGCATGGTCCAAACTTTCCTTCCCACCCTGCTTGTCTTCCCTGCCCGCCCCGGGGTGCCAGGGGCTAGTCCTCATTCATCCTGTGGAGCAGTGGTTCACTACCGCCCTCTTTTATCGCTCAAACATTCTAGGGCTTCGATGTGTAGGTGTCTACGTGTGTGGGGGAAGATGACATGGCATCAGTCAATGAAAGGCTCACTATTTCAAAACTTTTGATTGTTTGGACAAAACCAGGTTGAAGCTCAAGTTAATAGCTACAAAGAAGAACTTGCCAAGCAAAGAGGAAAAGGTCATAGGGGTTGCCTTTAACCTCAGACGGGACAGACACCTTTTCCAACCCACTGGTACACCTTTCACCGTCTACTTGTGTCAGTTACCCATTGTTTTCAGTTCACCAGGGCAAGTTACTGGAAAGGGAAGAGAGTAGATACGAAAAAGTATTTCTTTAGTATCTACTATCTTCTAGGTGTTTTCTGTATGCCAACTTATTTTATCCTCCAAAATGCAATTGAGTGATAAAGTACTATTATTCCCATTTTAGAAAAGAGAAAAGTTCCCATAGCCAGGTAGGCTGGATTCCACTCAGACCTGTCTTCTGTCTGTGACCAAACAGTCTCCCTGGGGCATTGTCTCCTGTTTGGGGTGAGCCTTGCCTGGCCATTCTTGATTCATGGGGAGGTGAAGTACAGGAGTGGTGGAGAGAGCAGAAAATGGGTGGGAGGGGAAGTACCTGTCTGTTATGAAGCTGTCTGTCCACATAGATCTGTCCTTCTGTGATGAAGCCCGTCAGGTCTGGGATCGGGTGAGTGATATCTACAAGGAGATTCGCTGGCCTCAGTGCAGATGGGGCCCAGGTTTCCACCCACTCAGGGCCGTCTGGGTTCTTTTGCCATCATGGGAGTGATAGGGGTGGATGGGGGCAAGAAAAGGACAGTGTCTGCCCTGATGGGGGAACAGCTACTGCACATCTATACACAGTGTGCAGGTGGGAAGGGCGGGCAGGGGGTGTCAGAGAGCAGCGGGCACGGAGGAGGCTCACCATCATTGGGCATGGTGAGGATGGGGATCTGAGTAATGGATCCTCCGCGGCCCATCACACGGCCCGCCCGCTCGTAGATGGTGGCCAGGTCAGTGTACATGTATCCAGGGAAGCCTCGGCGCCCAGGCACCTCCTCTCTGGCAGCTGAGACCTGCAACATCCATGGGTATTGGGAGTGGGGGTGAGAGGCTGAGACGAGGAACGGAGGGCTCAGTGACTATGAGAAATAGAGTGGGGGCAGGCCTGGGTGGGTGAGCTCTGGGGTGCAGGGGCTGGGATGAACCCGACACCCCTCAGCAGCCACCTCACCTCCCGCAAGGCCTCTGCGTAGGAACTCATGTCGGTCAGTATGACCAGCACATGCTTCTCACACTGGTAGGCCAGGAACTCAGCAGTGGTCAGCGCCAGGCGAGGGGTGATGATCCTCTCGATCCTGGAGACGGGGTCAAGGGTTAGAGAGCCTGTGCCCTGTTGGCTCCAGTACTGAGTGGAAAGTGACCTGGGAAGTTGGGGCTGCCCAGGGCAGCAGGGGAGTGGACACGATGAGCCCCTAGCTCAGGGCCATGGTTCCTGGGAATGGGTCACTCAACCAGCCCCACACTCTCGTCCTGAGAGTCAAGGGAAGAAAAGAACAGAGACTGGGGCAGGGTGAGGAGTTGTGTGAGAGGGGGACAGGCAGGACTAGGAGTGTCCGATGAGGGTGATGGTGCCCTTTTTCTGTGGCCTGAAGGTGAGGGACGCTGGCATATCAGAGGGAGGTGGGTCAGGGCTTCTGCTTTAGTTCCCTCTTCCCCTGGGCATCCGCCCGGGCCAGCTGGAGAGTCTCGCTGACTCAGGGTCGTCCTCAGGACTCCTTCCTCCCTGGTCCTCTCACTGTTCCCACAAAACTTAGTGTGCACTGTTCTGTCCCGGCCGCCCCCTTCCACTCTGAGCGTTCCTGAATCTCCCGGCTCTGTGCTCCTGGGTCTCTCCTTTGGTGATGTCATCACAGCCTCCAGAGTTGTTAGTTTTCGGAGTACTCGCAATACCCAGGATAGTTTATTAAAATTGTTTTTCCTAACCACTGAACCCCCAGACTTAAGTTCACATTTTCTAAACTTTTAAAGTAGTCGTTTTTCTAAACATATGGTTTCGAGAAATATCTGTTTTGTGGTGACTTTGTGGAAGTGACTCAGGAGGAGGAGCCCTGACTCGGGACAGTGGTTAGACGCAGGTTGTAGGAAGAG